AATCTTTCTGGTACATTTATATTTTGGAGAGTTTCTTGAGATTTCGTTGCTTAGTGAATTGCTCTATTCATTACATGAGTAATAGCAAGGAACAAGTCCATGAAAGTGTGATAAATCTAAAATAATAATAAGCTGTAGAATTACAATGAGCGTGAGAAACTGAGGATGTAATAAAATAATAATAAAATCATCATCATCATCATCATCATCTCTGCCACATGATTGGATAATCAAGTACCTAGAAATAACAGGTGTCAGTAGAAACATCAGAAAATTTGTGCAAAGATCGATGGCACAATGGAAGACACAGTTGCAGGTCAATGGTGAGAGACTGGGAGAGGTTAACATCAAGAGAAGAATATTTCAAGGAGATTCATTATCACCATTACTATTTTGTTATTGCACTGTTTCCTCTTTCAACAATACTGAATAACTCAGGACATGGCTATCAAACATCAAAAACATCTGCCAGACTATCCCACCTCCTATACATGGATGATCTGAAGCTGTATGGAAAAACATCATCTGAAATAGAATTGCTGCTCAACACTGTCCTTATAGCCAAGATATTGCAATGGAGTTTGGCTTGGACAAATGTGCCACACTTACTATCAAACAAGAAAAAATAGTGAAAACTGAAGGAATCAAGATACCCCACAAAAATAACATTAAGAGTCTGGATGAGGAAGATTACTACAAATACTTGGGTATCCTTCAAGCTGACAACATCAAGCACATTGAAATCAAGAAAAAGATTAGAGGTGAATACATCAAGAGAGTGAAGATCTTAAAGTCCAAACTCAATGGAGGAAATACCATAAAGGCAATCAACACCTGGGCAATTCCAGTCATTAGATACACAGCTGGAATAGTGGACTGGACTCAAGCAGAACTAAAAGCAATGGATAGGAAGACCAGAAAAATAATGACAATGAATCATGCCCTTCATCCACACAGTGACATTGACAGACTTTATCTACCAAGGCAAATAGATGGGCGTGGAATGCTGCAAGTACATCAGATGGTTGAAGAAGAAGAAATGGCTTTGGAAGAATATCTAAAGGACAGTGATGAAGATGCACTGAAATTAGTATATCAGGAAGGCTTACTGACTACTGGACAGACCAAACTGGCCTACAAGAAAGACCAAATGAAGAACAGAATAGAGGCATGGGAAGACAAAGCACTACCAGTATGTACTGGCCAGTACATTAAAAAAAAATAACTAGGAAAGCAGATAATAACAAGACCTTGCAATGGCTAAGAACAGGAAAGTTGAAGAAAGAGACTGAGGGACTAATCCTGGCTGCACAAGAACAAGCCTTACAGACAAATGCATATAAAATCAAAATTGAGAAGACAGCAACAGACAGTAAGTGCCGCCTATGCAAAGAAGCTGAAGAAACAGTGGACCACCTGGTAAGCTGCTGCAAAAAGATCGCATAGACTGACTNAAGAAGAAGAAGAAGAAGAAGAAGAAGAAGAAGAAGAAGAAGAAGAAGAAGAAGAAGAAGAAGAAGAAGAAGAAGAAGAAGAAGAAGAAGAAGAAGAAGAAGAAGAAGAAGAAGAAGAAGAAGAAAAAAAAAAAACAGTTGGAAGGGACCTTGGAGGTCTTCTAATCCAACCACCTACTCAGGCAGGAAACCCTGTACCATTTCAGACAAATAGTTGTCCAGTCTCTTCTTAAAAACTTCCAGTTGGAGCATTCACAACTTTTGGAGGCAAGTTGTTCCACTGATTGTTCTGTCAGGAAATTTCTCCTTAATTCTAGGTTGCTTCTCTCCTTGATTAATTTTTATCCGTTGCTTCTTGTCTTGCCTTCAGGTGCTTTGGAGAATAGCTGCACTCCGTCTTCTTTGTAGCAACCAATTGCTACAAAGATGTACCAATTGGTACATCTATGCCATTCTTTGCAACCCCCCTTGGATAGATGCCACTTTATTTACAAGATATGCTTTTATTTAATCAGAATCATCACATCTGATTTGTGAAGACAGAAGAGCCCTACTTTATCCCTAAGTTGTACACAATGATTTAGGAACATATTGCAAATCCTGTTTTGCTTATCCAGAAATATTGAGTTGCTGAACTTAAGAGCCAGCCAGCCAGCCAACCAAGCTTTAACTCAGCACAATGGGAAAAGTTAGGTACAGTACAGTTGAAAGTACTTTAGCTGGAATGGTTATACCATTGAATCTGAGGTCATTTGCCTTTTTGAAGAAGTGGCAGAAAATCTACCTGCAATAAACAGGGTCTTTCTTCGTAAAAGTAATACTCTTATAAATTATGGCAGTTGGACTTCAATAATACCTGGATATCCATTTATTACCTACTCCACATTCTGTGGCTAATGAGTGCATTCAGCACTCTGTGTTATTTTATTCGGGAAGGAAATATTAAAACGGTAGGACTGATATGAGATGGAGTTAAACAATAATTGGATGATTTGCTGCTGAATTCCATGACCTCAGAAGCTATAGGACTGGGGAGAACTGGCTTGGCAGTAGGTTGTGTTAAATATTCAGGATGTTTCTGTTGAGCGCAAGGTAACCATGTGCCAACAGTGCAATGCAGCTGGTAAAAATTCAATTGTTCTTTGGGAGTTCAGGGCCCATATTTTTAACACAAATATTATACATGCAATTTTGCTTCCACAAGGTAGTGCATCTTTTGCACAAAACTGTATTACTGTACTGCCATTGCTAACTTGCAAGTTCTGGGTTGTAAAGTTTATTACTATGAAATCTTCTCTTACAGTATAAACCACTTTATGGCAAAGGCCTCAGTGATATTCTTGGGTGGATGGAAAATGCAAGCAATGGAATTCTCGCTAGGAAAGAAAATGGAGTTAGGGATTTTGATCCTTCCTTTGTAAAATGTCCAAAATTCACGTAACCTTATAATACAATACACAGCAAGCATGAATGCAGTCACAAAGGCCACTGTGCCAAAGGAGAAATAAAATGAAACGTCTAAGGCTCTGTAAAAATGTGAGATAACAGAGGCAAAATTGAATTAAATTATCACCCAAAAATTATGCAAATGATGGAACACTAAATGAATTCTTTCTTTATTATATCCTTATCAGAACCCAAATCTAAGTACATCTAGGAAGATACAAGATATTTCAACAGTTTTATTTAATATATTAGTTTTGTAGACTTATATACACTTAGTCTAGTTACAAAGTACATTAATGAACTGGAACCTATTTATCTTGATGTATGCAGGGAAGTGGACTATAGCTTGTGAGGCATTCACCTACATAGTTTTTTTTTCACATTTTTTAAATGGGCGGAAGTTTATTGAAGGAGAAAACAAAAGTCCAAATTTTTTATCGCATTGTTTTTTTTTCCAGTTCAGTTCCATTTGCATTAAGAGTCAGGTCTGATGAATCAATAATTTACAAATAATAATTTTTAAAACTTGGTCACTAAAATTACATGTTTTGTAATTTGTTTCTACAATTTTTCAAACAAAATATTTTATTTATGTAGTCAAAGCAAACTAATGAATGCTTAACCAATTAAAGGTGTGTCAATAATCTTGAGTATAAAAGGCATATCAAACTGAACGCCAATGCCCATCCCACATTGATTGAGAAACAGCTATTTTTATTTATTAATATGTTTATTCAAGCTGCATATTGATTATATGCAGAACAAATCCCTCAGATAAAATTAACCCTGTAGACTTCTACCCAGCCTTTCTCTGTGCAGACAAGAAAATCTGGCTTACCCCTTATACTGTCAGAAAACATCTTTTTTAAATGATTTATGTCATAGCTTGAAATCTTGCCAATGCATCATTACAGTCTTCTCCCTTCCTTAGCTAGCCCGCACCATGAAGTAAGGGCCAAGTTAAACATGTTTCAAAAAGCAAAATGCCCAAACTATGGTATTTAAACAGGAAGAGATGGGGTGTGGGATACAGAATGCATTCATTTAACTGGTGATTAGTTTTCTGCCAGTTTTCCTATCCCCCTACAAGTGCCAAGTTCTGATGTGACAACAATCTCAGAGAATTTAGAAAGGGTGTGATGAGAAAATTAAGTAACAGGAGCAGCCCTAATGCACTTTTGCAGTTAAAATCTGCTATTAATAGCACATCACTTATACTGTATCAATTAATCCTGGAATGGTACATTTGAAAAACAAATGTTTGGTTTACAGGTAGCCCTTATTTAGCAAGAACAATTGGGACCGTCAACTCGGTCACTAAGGGAAGTGGTCGCTAACTGAAGCCACAACTGTGCTTATCACTTGGTTTCAGTTTTCCTTTGCTTTAGACCTGTGGAGGTCATACATTTTTTAAAAATGTATATTTCATACTTCTCAACTGCCTATTGCCATCAGAAGGTATATGCAAGAACTTGTCTCAAAGTTACTTTTTCATCACTATTGTATCTGCAAATGGTTATTAAATGAGTCATTAAACAAGGACTACTGGTAATTAATTAAAATTAATATGTTAATTTAAATATCAAATTGATTTCTAATCCATTTTTTTAAAAAATCCCTATCATTTGATCTTTTCCCCCCCTCTTCTCAGTTGAACAAATATGAATACAGTAAAAGTTTAAAACACATACTCTAATATCTATTATTAATCCAAGCACTGTTTACATCTAAAATAAAGACTAGAATTTAAACACAATTTTTGACTCTTCAATCTTCAATGCAGCTTGGCAGATGAACTTCATCTGACATAGATGAAAGAAACTGTGTCTTTCAACATATTTGGAAATGTCTGTTTTTGCACCTTGATAAGAATTCACCCCCAAAAACTGGGATATGTTCAATGTAATATTTTTATGACTGAATGGCCCTATGAAACATTTAATAATGTTTTTAAAAAATTGTATTTCGAGCCGAGTTCTAGTTCTAGCCTTGGAAATACCTAGCTTGCTACAAGTAATTATTAAATCTTACAATCAAGCATCCCATAATTACTTTTGATCAATTATGCTGTAATGAATAAATTTGATATGCACATTGACTGAATGGAATAAATTTATTAGAAATTCCTACTTTGCCTAGATTCCCATTTCACCTAACGGTATTCAGTATCAAAATATCAGTATCAAGAACTTCAATACATCTTGGATTTATTCAGTCAAAAACAGCATTTCAGATTTACTGGATTCCATTGCATTTATACAGAAAAGACCTGAGTGAATCATCAACTTAGATAGGCAATGAGATTATTCCATTAAAGCAGCTGTTTGTAATGTACTACAACAGATTTCATTTTGAAATTTATTATGTGTATTAACTCAATTTTGAGATAACTCAATTTTGAGACAAGATTTCACATTCTCAGATGTTCATTCTTTTGAACTAAGTTCCTATTGCATGAAAATTGGCATTTGGACAAAGAATGTGGAGAAAGCACAAAGGCATTTTTAAAAATGAAGTAAAGCTGTTTGCTGTGGAGGAATGAGCAAAAATTCCTATGCAACAAGCAGTTATAAGAAAAGGGTGTTGTAGTTACTGCAGCTAAATAGTTATGAATTTAAGGCAGTGATTACTTTTCCACACCGGAATGCTGCATATAACTCCTTTTTCTCCCTCCCTAGAAAGCATAGATATTTAAAGATATGTACAAATTCAGAAAATCTGAAAGGAAACAAATGCTTTTTCAAAATATTTTTAAAATGTTCCAAATGAAAAGAAACCATTACTTATTCTCCCTAAAGGCCTTTTACACTGAAAAGCCAGCAACACAATCAATAATAAACACAAATTGTTGTAAAGGGGGAATCCATTAGTAAGGCCATGGTAGAAATTCAATGTCTGACCATCCCCTTGAGTATATTTTTCTATATATTTTCAGATAGGGGCATAATAAAATCTTTATAACTCGGCACTTTTGAAGAGAATCCAAATCAGCAAATGATATATACCTTTTCTACAGCTGCTACTAAAGTCGGTTCAGCATGACTTAATTCCATTTTGTTCTTGCCATCTTTTATCATTTATTAGTTTTATTGTAATTTCTTTTGACTGTTACGAGTTGGGTGGCATACAAGCTTAATTAATTATCATTATTATATTTAAGAATGTCTTCATTTATCTAAATAGAGGAGCCATTTCAGGTACAGGTTAGAATCAGCAGCATGAAAGTAACTTCAACAATAAGGCTTCCCTTACAGGTGGTACTCAACCCATAAAGCTCAAACTCTAGCACTTACCACTTCTCTACTATTTTACAAATCAGTGCTGCAGTCATACTAATAATATTGTGCAATACAAAATACCCAGGGGAATATTATTTGATCATTATGGTGAACTTTTAAGTCTGATCTATAAAACAGTTTATGTACGATACGCGACTCCTATTTTGCCCAAATCTCTTACACTTCCATAAGTCAAGAAGTAATGCTGCTTTATCATTTCTACATCAAGTTATCGCTTAAACATTTACTCTACCAGGTCTGAAGAGACTTATGTTCAATAGAATTTACTCTTTTCACTAACTGCAGTGACTTTTCATCATAGAAGCAATAAATAGAAATCTTATATTTTTATAAAACACATCATTCAAGGTAGCAACTTTTACTGACATGAAACCACTGTTAACACAACGAGGCATTTAAAATTAACTTTTAAGTCAGTGAGGACAGAATTTTAGCAATGGAGCTGGAGGAAAATATCTATCACCGGTGATCCTTCTTATGGTTTATGATTGAGTGATCTGTAGGGCCTCCAACATGTCTTCTACAGCTTTCAGTGAATACTTGGTCTCTTTCTTACTACGGCCAGCATACTATGCAAAACAAAAGCAAAGAAGAATCTTTTGAAAAACACATGCAAATAAAGTACAATAGCCAAAGGTAGCCCTAGGTTTCAATAATTACAAAAAAATTGCTTGCTTATTTATTTATTTATTACTTATTTATTTATTTAAAATTCATTTTAAATGTAGTTCGGCAAAATTTGATTATAAAGGAATAAATTTTAAGCTCTACATTTAAAAGTGTTTAAACACTTTAAAATGATTATCAGAGGTGAGGATTGGGGCAGTAAAAGAAAGGCAAGAAATTGCCTGGGATCATAGCATTCATACTTTACTCTCCCAGTTTTCTGTGGATGAATGAATGAGTTTTATTTTGTCTGTGTAACTGTAATATGTTCTCAAATGTTAATAAGCATGTGTGTGTGTGTGTGTACATACACATATACACACATATACACACACACACACACACATATATACAGTATATCTGTAATATTGCCCTCAATAAGAGACTGTTTATTAAACATCTTATGAACATCGACAAAAAGTAATTTTATAGGTAATAAAGTAATAAAATTAACCTGCTTTTGACCTTCTGAATATTTTTAAACAAGAGGAATCTTGATTCTATAGCCTAAGATTTCAAAGAAAATAAAAGGAAATCAAAAGGTTACATATGAATACTCCCCTCTATTCTCTTCGGAAATTGACTAGATACTGTGGATAATTTTTGATTTGGATTTCAACTTAAGGGGAAATAAAGCTGATTGCCAAAATGCATTCAGAAATCTTTGATTTATTCTATCTTTAAATACATTAAAACAAATATAAGGCATTAAAAAGCATAACATTTCCTGTTAATCTGAAAAATTGCTCCACTGAGTGGCATTGGCACAATTGAAACAATAATACACTATATTTTATTTTGGTGCTGCACACACACAGACAGAAAAGAAGTTCCCAATATAAGTAACAGATATATTTTAGTTTATTACATTATGTTTTATTATACCATTGTAACTGTGCACTTTCTCTCATACAGTTCGACTGGTATACACGGCTGGTGAAGAAATGCCTCTAAATTATATACATTCTGTAATTTGGCATGCTCTTTAGGTGAGATGTTTGTGTGTGCTTTAAATCTATACCATATGGCTACAAAGAAACATCTGAGAATGGTCCGACATCTTATTAAATTATAGGAAACGCTGGCAAAACAGCTCATCATTATCAACTCTTCATGAGTATAAGAGTAATCCTGTAAGATCTGATCAAAGGTTATATAATCCAACATTCTAGTATGCAATAGCTAACAAGTATTTTTAAGAAGCCAACCAGCAGGATTTGAGGGTAAAAGGATATTCCCTTGCAGCAATTGATACTGTGAGGTATCTATGCCTTACCAAAGGCAGAGGCTCAGTTCAACCATTTGTCTAGTGACTGTTTGAAGTTATGCTGGTGCTGAAAGAAATGACTTAAAACTGGCCCTCACACTTACGACTATTACCGTGTCTCTGTGGTCCCATCATGATCCCAGTGCTTAGCCACCAGCCTGGATTTCTGTAAATTGTAGCATCCGCTGATCACATAATCATCATTTGTGACCTTCCCAGCCAGCTTCCAACAAGTCAATGAGGAAGCTGGAAGGAGATTGCCAGTTGCAGACATGTGATGTCTCGCTTAACGACCAATTGAAAAAAGATAGTAAAACTGGATGTGGTCCCATGATGTCTCGCCTAACGTCTGTACTGCTTACTGGTGAATTTTCCAGTCCTATTCTGGTTGTAAGCTGAAGACTGCCCTATATACTATAATGTACCGGGAGGTCTCGATTAGTGCAGTTAAGGAATCCTGCGAAATGACCGGATTATTCAAACGTGCACTCTTCAAAATGGTATTTCTCCAGAAAAATATGGCAATTGGTTCCAGCTCAACCAAAAAAGGCAATGAAAAATTTTAAACATAATTTTTATGCATATATTAATAAATTAATACAGTGAAGATAAGAAAATGTACTTCTAATTTGAATTTATGGTTAACAAAAGTCACAGAGTAGTTACAGAAAGTAAAACAAAACAAAAAATCTACTGTAGATTTAGGTGTTCCAACATCTCATTCTATTTTAGTGGTGTACTGACCACATTAAGGTCATTTAATTATATAAAAGTTTTGCTCTAATGTAATGGCATGCCTCGTCTTTTACAACTTTTTCTGCCATCAAGTCAATTTTTGAATCCTGGCAACTGCATGGAAAAATCCCTGCAGTTTTGTTGGCAAGGTTTCTCAGAAGTGGTTTGCCATTGTCTCCTTCTTATAGCTGATCACCAATAGCTTATTGGTCCATGGTTTCCTGGCTGGCTCTATGCCTAAGGCGTGACTAGAACTCATGGCCTCCCAGTTTCCCTCTTGATGCTTTAACCAGTACACAGTTTTTCTGTACACACGGGAATGCTTCAGGATACAATAAAGCTAACCTATTATCGGTGTAGTTATTCACTTCCTTAAAACTTCAGTTCTTGAACATGAATACTTCATTGCTCTAATCACAAGGTGGCAACCTTCAGCAACAGAGATGTTTCAAAGAAACAATTACCTGCATTGCTCACTCCATTTATGTTTTTAATAGCTTTAAATACAAATATATAGACCTGGCAAACCACATGGAACACTCAGGTCAAGCAAAGTTTGGTATTTGTTCAACAGTTTCTTATGGCAACATTTGTCAGGGTGGGGTGTGTGTGTAAATTTGATATTCAAGCCAATTTCTCATTTATGTAATTTTATCCCACATATTTAAATTCCCCTTTCAGTTTTTAGCTGGATGTGGTATCTGTCACTTTTCTGTTAAAATACAGCTGAAGTATGCAATATATCATAAATACGTGAAGTCACAAAGAAATGCTGACATTTGTTTTAAGTATATTTTAGTTGAGTAACAATGCAACTGTTCTGTTAAATATCAACTGAAATAAGAGGCAGTTAAGGATAATTTTGATTCACTTCCAACATAACTTCCCAATAGTTTTGGAATTGGACCATAAAGTTATAAAATATAAATTGCATTTTATAATTTGTACTGCTGACTTTAGAAATAATGTATATAAGTAACTCTTAGTATCTAACTTTACAGAACTGAATTTTAGAAGCAGGTTTGCAAACTACTAACAGATATTATTTCAAAGTCCATTTCATAAAGATACTTTTTACACTAAGAAAACTAATTTGCAGATTATGAAACTGTGTGCTTGATATTTGGTCTTTATTGGTATAAAATCAGAGCATCCATTGTCAATGATTAAGAATGAAATAATTAGCCCAAAGCAAAAGGCTGTTTTATTAAACTCTGATAACTTTCTTACCTTTTAAACCAAACTGCTACAGTGCACCATTATAGGAATGCCAACCACTGAAGATATTTATAGCAATATGAAGGAACACTTGTGGTTCATGCACACTGCAATATGCTGATGCTAAGGCTCTCAAAACCAAGAATGCTGGAGTGGAATCATCTTCAGTTATTCAAGAACTAGCGGGCAATATAAATCAATCAAACAAGCATTCCATGCATTATTTACAATTGATTATATGCTATCAAGTTGTTGTCAATTCCTAATGACCATAAAGATTTTTTCCATGATAATCTGTCCCTGCTTTCATCTATCTTGTCCTCTTCTTCTCTTTCTTTTCACCCTTCTCAGCGTTAGAGTCTTCAGAGAACTTTGTCTTCATATAATGCCTTCAAAGTAGGATAATTTGAGCCTGATCATTTGGGTCCTGAGTGAGCACTCTGGATTGATTTGTTTGATGATCCACTGATTATTTATTTATTTTTGTAATATATTTTATTGATTTTTTAAAAAACATAAATCACAATAATTGGTGAACAGTGTGTTGTCTGGGTTACATTTGTAAAACAATCATTAACAATTGATTTCTATAATCCATAATCCACATAATGGTTTTAGTTGATTTCCCAAAATATCCTCTTTTGCAAACATTGAGTTAATACAATTCTTATTGTTTTGATAGATAACAATTAAATATATAATTTTGCCCAATATTCTTAAAAATAATAATCACATCAATATAATATTTCTTTTCTATCCAATCATTCTGGTTGCCTTATCATAGATCCTATTACAGTCCTTATTTTAATTTGTTTCTCCCACCAAATTCTAGGTATTCTTACTGGTTATGATTATTTGTTTGTTTGTTTGTCCACAGTATTCTTAGAAGTCTTCTCCAATATGAAAATTCAAAAGCGTCAATACTCTTCCTATCCTGCTTCTTTAAAGTCCAACCTTCGCTTCCAATGAGTGTCACGAAAATACCACAACTGGCACAATTCTGATCTTTGTAGATATACAGGTACTCCTCGAGTTACGAGTGTAATGGAGCCTGCCCATTCCACTTGTAACTCAAAAACTTGTAGAGTGAATCTCATTAAAATGCACCCTTGCTCGTTAAAATGCCCGTGGCTTGTTAAGCGAACAAGAGGTATCTCAGGGTGGGGAAGGCCATGGAGGGCCTAGTGCTGGAACAGGCCCCTAAGGCCTCCCCGACCCACTAAGATACCGCATGCTTTCCCCTCCCTTCCTGCTTCGCCGGACTCACCTGGAAAAGATCCATCTCTGCTGTGGTTCCTGCTGCCGCCTGGATTTGAGGCCTGAAAATGCTTCCGTGACTCCCCCGCCCCCTGATCCGATGCCCCCCGGTGCCATGGGGAGGCCTGCAGAAGCGTTCGCCAGGCTCAAATCTGGGCAGCAGCAGCCTGGAAAAGGCCTCCAGAATCCGGATCGGGGGGCAGCTAGCACCTGTGCAAACGGGGCTGTTAGCTCATGCAGGTGCGTGAGGCCCGTTTGCGCATGTGCACAGGTGCTAGCGGCGGTTGCTAGCGCCTGCGCAGAGCTGCTAGCACCGTGCAGGTGCGCATGGCTCCATTTGCGTGCACTCACTCAAACACATTTCCCAGCTTCTCCCTTTCCCTCCGGGCCACCAGAACGAAAAGGTTGGTGATCTCTGTTTTAGCCTACAAATTCAAGTTACAAGTCCCTTCTGAATTCAGAGTTCTTTTGAAAGACTTTTCTTGTTTTTCTAGGTCTCCTTCTATCCTCAAATATTTTCTTTTATCAGCATGTTCAATGCCTTTACAGCTGTTGTTATAATAATGGTTCTTGTCTCTTCTAAGAACTGTTTGAAATTCTTTAAGTACTTTTCTAAGGTTTTTGTCCTGTCTACTCTTTGCAATTTTCACAGTTTTTTCCTATATCCAGTTAGCTTTTTTTCTTTCTTCCTTACTGGCAGTTTCTTTTCACATTTATCCTTCACAGCTTCTTTAAGCTCATTCCATCATTTCTTGGATTCTCTATTAGTGAGATTCAGGACTTCAAAGCAATTCCCAATATTCTTCTTGAAAATGGTAGGCATATATTCAAGATCATTTTGTGGAAACTGACTGACTTTCTTCTTCTTCAGCTTAACTTGGAAACTGCATCTAAACAATTCATAATCTGTTCCACAGTCAGCACCTGGCCATGTCTTTGATAATATAACTGAGCTCCTTTGCCTCCTTTTAACAATAATATAGGCAATTGGTGATTTCCATGTACAGAGGTATCATTTTGATTGTTTGAACATAGTGTTAGATATTTGTTCAAAATATATGGCCTTAATAGTTTTCCATTTACAAATATACAAACCTGATTAATCAAAAATTCTAGTCAGGTTTTTAAGACAAGAATACATCAATGCAATGGACTGAACGGGGGAGCTCACTGGGTGAACTTTGGACAAATTCATTGTTTCTCTGCCTACATGGTTGATGTAGATAAAATTAGGGTACACTCCCAAGAAAATAGACCAAAGTAAATAAAATAATGTAACAAATAAACTAATAAAGCCTATTGGAAGCACATTTAATAAAGGACACTAACAGTTAGCAAATACCTTTGTGTCTTATGAAATATGGAAAAAATGATTTCTAAAGATGTAATGCTGGAAAAAAAAACATAAAACACAGATAGGATGTATAGTCTGTTCCTGTTTAGTATGTCCTTTTGATAACAACATTCACATATTCAGAAATTAAATAATTTCTATTGTGTATTCATAATTCCAAAAAGAATGGGTTTTAAAATTTTTGTATTATATAGGTCATACCCAAATATGTATGTGAGTGGCTTTTTACGATCATTGTAAATAATTTCCTTTGCTGCACCATCAAGTTTTAAAAACTAATATATTATACAAATGTTATTGAGTTTAACAAAATACTCACCTGGTAAGCTCTATTGATTTGGTTTGCAGCCCAACTTGCATACTTCATATTATCCTTTTTAACTTTTGCACTGGCTTTGGAATTGGAGACAATATGGCTGGCAGACTAGAAGTACAACAGGAAACAAATCAGGATTTTTTTTTTGACAATTTAACTAAAATATACTATACATATTGAATCTTGTCCTATCATCTATGCTGAAAAATTAATACTTTTTAAATCAGAATTCAGAATCAATAAATAAGTATTTTGATTCTGTTGGACAAAAATCATAGATATGGTAGATTTGTCCACCAAATACAAAAAGCTAGTTTCTGAATTTCTTTGAATTTGTAGTTGGCAAACAGTCCTGCATATCATGGAACAACTTCTGAAACAAAGGTATTTATTACAGGAGCCAAAAAATTATTTGATCCTCTGCAGATTTTGTATGTTTGCCCACTGACAAAGAAACGATCAGTCTATAATTTTAATGGTAGTTTTATTTTAACAGTGAGATACAGAATAACAAAAAAAATCCAGAAAAATGCATTTCAAAAAAGGTATAAATTGATTTGCATTTTAATGAGTGATCCCTTCGCAAAACATGACTTAGTACTTGGTGGCAAAACCCTTGCTGGCAATCACAGAAGTCAGATGTTTCTTGTAGCTGGCCACCAGGTTTGCAAACTTCTCAGGAGGGATTTTGTCCCACTCCTCTTTGCAGATCCTCTCCAAGTCATTAAGGTTTGGAAACTGACATTTGACAGCTCGAACCTTCAGCTCCCTCCACAGATTTTCTATGGGATTAAGGTCTGGAGACTGGTTAGGCTACTCCAGGACCTTAATGTGCTTCTTTTTGAGCCACTCCTTTGTTGCCTTAGCCGTGTGTTTTGGGTCATTGCCATGCTGGAATACCCATCCACAATCCATTTTCAATGCCCTAGCTGAGGGAAGGAAGTTCTCACCCAAGATTTGATGGTATATGGCCCTGTCTATCGTCCCTTTGATGTGGTGAAGTTGTCCCATTAGCAGAAAAACACCCCCAAAGCATAATGTTTCCACCTCCATGTTTAACGGTGGGGATGGTATTCTTGGAGTCATAGACAGAATTCTTCCTCCTCCAAACAAAGCGAGTTGAGTTGATGCCAAAGAGCTCGATTTTGGTCTAATCTGACCACAACACTTTTACCAAGTTCTTTTCTGAATCATTCAGATGTTCATTAGCTAACTTCAGACAGGCCTGTACATGTGCTTTCTTGAGCAGGGGACCTTGTAGGTGCTGCAGGATTTCAGTCCTTCACGGCATAGTGTGTTACCAATTGTTTTCTTGGTGACTATGGTCCCAGCTGCCTTGAGATCATTGACAAGATCCTTCCATGTAGTTCTGGGCTGATTCCTCACCGTTCTCATGATTATTGAAGTTCCATGAGGTGAGATCTTGCATAGAACCCCAGACTGAGGGAGATTAACAGTTATTTTGTGTTTCTTCCATTTGCAAATAATCACACCAACTGTTATCACCTTCTCACCAAGCTGCTTGGCAAAAATCTTGTAGCCCATTCTAGCCTTGTGTAGGTCTACAATCTTGTCCCTGACATCCTTGGACAGCTCTTTAGTCTTGGCCATGGTGGAGAGTTTGGAATCTGATTGATTGCATTCTCTTTAAAAGAGTGCTCCTAATCTCAGCTAGTTACCTGTATAAAAGACACCTGGGAGCCAGAAATCTTGCTGATTGATAGGGAATCAAATACTTATTTCACTCATTGAAATGCAAATCAATTTATAAGTTTTTTGAAATGCATTTTTCTGGATTTTTGTTGTTGTTATTCTGTCTCTCACTATTAATATAAACCTACCATTAAAATTATAGACTGATCATTTCTTTGTCAGTGGGCAAACATACAAAATTAGCAAGGGATCAAATAATTTTTTTCCTCATTGTATGTGTGCAACGTATACGGCTGCTCACTTGACAAGTGACTCTAGATGGTTCCCAAGGGCTAAAAACATCAACCAAATTGCTTTGGATCACATGGGTGCCTTGACTTATGGCCATAATGACTTATGACAGATTTCCGGTCCCAATTACGGTTGTAAATCAAGAAGTACCTGTAAACAACATTACAAGTATCTATTTCACTGTTTATGCCCACTGTATTACTACAATGGAATAGGACAATGCAACAGTATTTATGTTTTTTTAAAGAGAAGATATATTCATGCAAATTAGGTTAGCTGTTTCATAGCTGAAAAGACATTTAAAGTCAAAGCTATTCAAAAGTCATCTTTCCAATGGATTAGTTTAAGGCAAGCTAATTTATCAGAAAATCTGCATATACTGTACTGTAGAATAAATTAACAAATATAACTCTTCAATTCCACTTTAAATTTTATAGTGTGATTATGGCACCACTACAATTCATCGCTGAAAATGCTGATACTGGCCAAATAATAACAAAATGGATAGAAAATATAAATGCTACTAATGCTAAGTAAATGTACTTATTAGTAGAGAAAGAACTGAGACAATCCAAGCTTTTTCACAATAGATCTTGAAAATCTTTTTTCCTTTCTATTAGTAAATAGAAACCTTCCTTTTCCAAATTTAAATAACAAGGCAAATCATTTTTGAACAAAAACACCCTGCTTTCTGGACTTACCATGTAAAGACCAAACAATGCTCTCATGTTTCTGTTGTTCAGTTTTAATGCCTGTGCAAAGTATTTTCGTGAGAGCTCAAGGTTCTCAAGCCCTCCTTGAGTATATTTAACCTGTAAATTAAACATTTATTTTAACAGACTTTCTAAAGATGTCAATTTTAAAAGAATATATAATTTATCATGCATTACATATATAGAAAAGTTAGGCAATTTTCCCCCTAATTTTTTTTTATCAGGTGAGATAGTTGAGACAGTTGATGTTAAATATTTAATGCAGGTATTGTCAGGGGTCTATCTGAAGAGCTATATAGTAATTTGGTCTGTATTTACCAGTTTGCATTTTGTGTCTCATTTTTACCTATAATTAAATAAATTCACTCCAGTTATTAGTAGTTTTATTGAACTGCATAACATAAATATATAAGATTAATTTGGTTTAATATACAAGAAAGGTATTTCATGGGCTTTCCTTTTATAGATTATAACAAATTAAAATATTTGCAGTCCCCTGGACTGCAAGGCAATCAAACCGGTCAGTCCTAGAGGAGATCAACCCTGACTGCTCTTTAGAAGGCCAGATCCTGAAGTTGAAACTCAAGTACTTTGGCCACCTAATGAGAAGGAAGGATTCACTGGAGAAGAGCCTAATGCTGGGAAAGATTGAGGGCAATAGAAGAAGGGACAACAGAGAATAAGGTGGCTGGATGGAGTCACTGAAGCAGTAGGCATGGACTCCAAAAGTTGGCAGAGGACAGGAAGGCCTGGAGGAACGTTGTCCATGGGATTGCAATGGGTCGGACACGACTTCACAACTAACAACAACAAAAATATTAAAAATTTAATTAAAATTTAAGACTTTAAAAAAAAATTAAATGTATTATTTTTAAAAAATTCTGAAACAAGGGACATGTCATAGGGAAAAAGGATGGAAAATCATGGTAGGAGAAATTGAATGTGAGCCACGGGAGAGGACAAACAAACAAGTTATGAAGAGAGTATATCCAACTGACCATTCCTTTGGGACAATTACTAGCTGCTCCTAGTCTTCTAAGGAGAAACTTCCTGACAGTTAGAACAATTAACCAGTGGAACAACCTGCCTCCAGAAGCGGTGAATGCTCCAAAACTGGAAGTTTTTAAGAAGAGACTGGACAGCCATTTGTCCGAAATGGTATAGGGTTTCCTGCCTGAGCAGGGGTTGGACTAGATGACTTCCAAGGTCCCTTCCAACTTTTTTTATTATTATTATTATTATTATTATTATTATTATTATTATTATTATTATTATTATTATTATTAAAATATTCACCTCTGCAAACTGTTGGCAATACAAGTGGTTGTGAGGATTAGTCATCATGAGTTCCTCCAGGCAAAAGGCAGCCTTTGCATAACTAAAGACAAAAGAGAGTTAAAGAAAAACAGACAATTTGGGGGTTTATTATAATGTCAGGATAAAAACAATGTTAAAAAAAAATAAATTGATTTTGTTTTTATAGAACAGGCAAAAGAAAAAAGCATTTAAGTGACAAAGAAATTTATGTGGGTAAGATTTTGCAAACTGGATAAGATTGGATTGGGTTGGATTCACAAAAATCTTACCCATAAGCAGATATATTACTCCTTGGAGCATCTGCAGTTCACAATATTACTGAGGATTTCAATTGTAAGTTCTGTTTAGCAAAAGGAAGATAAATTTCTCAGGATTGTATAGTACCAAATTTCTCAATTCTCAAAGTTATGAAAAAATGAAAAGTACAGTATAGTGCATAGTGCTTTCATATACAATGTGGTTTTAAATGATGCTTCATTATAGTAGTTTATTCATGTAAGCTAAATATGGTCAATAATGTACTAAACTTATGTATTTTGAAGATTCAATACGCATCCTTCAAACACATGCTTTTTATAAAATATACTCAACTTCTACAAGCTTTCAAAATCTGTGGCAACTGACTTCTAACATACGATAGCAAGAGAAAGTGCATGCTTAGTTAAGTTACCGCAGATTGACTACCAAACATGTGTTCCAAACCCACATTTTTAAAAACAACAACAAAAACTACAACTTTTATTACAAAATCAGACTTCAGTCTATTCTATAAAACCACACCTAAAAACAAATGCAAACAAAGGATCTGTCGTAAATATTATAACAAAACCCCGAAAGCCTTGTTTGCTTGTTTAAGGCAACTTGATAACTATAATCTACAGCAATCAGAACTGAATTTCATTTGCAGATCTTAATACATTCTTAACCCCTTGTGTTGCATTTACTGAACCCTGAAAATTCACAAGTTTTTCTGTGCTACCTCTTGGAATCTGGCTTGGGAGAAGTGAATGAAAAATCAGAAATACTGATTCCAGGGGTCTTTGATGGTTTCTAAGTTTGGTTGCTTTCTTGCAGACAGACATTTCACTACCCAAACTAGGTAACATCAGCAGTGTACTACTGATGTTACCTTGTTTGGGTAGTGAAATGTCTGCAAAACAACAACCAAGCTTAGAGTGCATCAAAGATCCCCCATTCCAACTGAGCTACAAATATTCTTCTCTATCAAATACTAATTATTCTGACAACCATTCCCTCCACAAAATTCCACATACATCCCTTGTCCTTTACTTTTTGGGTTCACTTTATTTGTAATCTGCCTAAAAAATATAATATATGTAACCATGATGTTTTTATGTAACTGTAACTTTTATCATCTCTTTTATTAAAGCTGATTCTATTTAACATTTTTGCCAAAAAGGAAATACTTAGAAGATATATTCTTCATGGATTTTGTGAAAGTATTTGAGTTCTGTTTCAAAAATTTGGACACTTTTAATTTCTAATTTTATCAATATGTCTGTTTATGATTGCTATTAAATTTATAGAAATATGTATTTTTAATTGCCACCTGCCAGTTTTATCCATGCATCTGATAAAGTAGGATATAGTCCATATCAGAGTATGTCATAATAAAAGTGTTAATAAAATATGCCACAAGAGGCTAATAAAAAATAATATTTTGTTGTTTCTGAACCTCTTAATTATAAATTATTATATATATATTGCACTTATATTGTTAATATACTAAAAGCAATGTGTAAGTTGCTTTGATTATGAGATGGGTAGCATATAAATTCAAATAAATAAACAAACAAACACCACTCAGCAAATTTAAGCTATGTTCTTAAAAAGAGAATTAAAGCTATTTTTGCTAACTCTATAGAAATAGCTGCTTTTCTTCTGAGAACCTCATTACTGTACTTTCTTATTCCTTGAAATATGCATAGAAATCAACAACACTAAGATTTGGCCTAAGAAATAAAGTTGGAGAGAAAAAAAACACAATAATTTCCTTTTGGAATGAAGGTTAGAATTAATGCCATATATTTAAAAAACTGAACTAAAGCTGTACACTAATCTGCTCATGCTGGGATTTCCCCTTGTCACTAAAGCAATAAAAAGTGAACAAAAACATTCAAGATCCAATAGAAAAGTGCCAACATTCTTGAGTGCATGCTGCTATTTATCCAAGAGACAACATTCTTATTTTAATGTCTATTTATTGTTTAGAAAACATTCGTCTCTGCTGCAAATCATATATAGCCTGTCTCTTCAGAGAAGCATGATAAAATTTTAAATAACAGTTCATGCATGCTTTTTCTTGAATTTAGGAGATCAGTACTTACATCAGGCAATATTAATAAAATGCTTCTAAACAAGCTACCAAAAACATGTCAGCTAAATAAAATGTGCTTGACAAGTCCATAAAAATGCATTCTAATAAAAAAAAATTAGAAACTTTTTCCTATTTATAAAAAGGGGGGGAAATGGCCATTGGGAAAAAGAGTATGTAATAATCGCTTTAAGAAAGCAATCCCTTTTTGTATGGGGGAAAAAAAAACCCTTCTCAGTCCTTTATGAATTAGACTTTGCAAACAACTTACTCATGTTCATTGATGTAGAGCTCAGTGAGCTCATGCCAGGCTTCCTGGTCCCCAACAAATCTGAACAAAGGAAGATGGAGAAAACAGATTCTATAAAATGAACAGCAAGGAGGCAAAGAGAAAAAAAAATCATATGCAAATACCTTTTTAATTAAAAAAGAGATTAGGATAAAGCGACACAATGTGTATTCTTGTAAAACACTCACTGTTCCAAATACTCATTCAACTCTCGGATGGCTTCAGCGTTTTTCCCCTGGGCTTTCCGAATGGCAATCTTACGTTTTCGGGCTGCCTATAGGTTAAAATTTACAGAGGATTATGTGCTTGTAGACCCCTCTTGGGTCTTTGAGAAACAGGCAATTCGACTCTGCAAACTATTATTTTATTGACCAAAAAAACTGCACTGCTGAGCAACTGCATGACAGGAGTTTTCACATAGATTCAGTTTTCACATAGATTCAACGACATCCTGCAGAGAGATTTAAATACCTTTCTTGCTTTGATGTTATGTTTTAACTTATATACACAAACTGTATGCATCATAAGTGGTTGTCCAGATTCTGATAATTACAACCATTAAAGAACTCCGAAGTTCTTCAGCCTACCATTTATGCATTTTGTTTCACAGTGAGACAGCCACTGGAGATGACCAAACTGTACTTCCAGGTTCTCAATATATATATATATATATATTTCTTTCTGTGCTAAAGAACCTTTTAGAAGCCATGTTCCATAAATCTCAAAGCAGAAATTGGTATTTGCTGAAGCAGCCTCTGCATATTGCAATAATCACAGGGAAAAAAGGTAGCCAATATTATGCACACGATTCCTGGCAGTATAACAACTCTAAGAACATTTCGACTGCTATCACAGCTACTTAAATTCTAAGTTGTCTGGCAGCTGTTCCACTGAATTAACAGCTTCATAACAGGTAAACAAAAGGCATGCCCTAACAATCTGGGGCACGAGCCATTGCTGATTCTCCACCCTTCCCCTTTTTAAAACAAACTTCATTTGCAGCAGCTGAGAGGACAGTTCACTGCCATGAGAAGGGTTCTTTCTTTCCATCTCTGAATGCTCTTCCTTCAAAAATACACAAGTAGGGCCTCCTCAAATGATCTGGAATTAAGACTTTCCAGTCACTGCTGCTGTATTTGTAAACCACAGAATTCCCACACAACAGAAGCCAGTCTCCTAAGCTTCCTACCAGTGGAAACATTATACCCTTTTCCAGCATGTGTGTATAAACTGATCTTTATCTTCAACTACCGAAGGACATCTGATCACATCAGAAGACGATGGACTTGGTGAAATGTGTGTGATATCTCATTCTAAGATCGCCAACATTAAATAGGGCATGAAATTCCTTATACTACCTTTCTTTAGTTGCAGACTTTCAAGTTCTCCCGAGTAGTATAATCTTAAAAGAAAGCAATAATCTGGTAAAATTTAGAACCACAACTATTTTATGTGAAATTGGAATTTAAAACTTGGGAAATTAATAAATGTGTATCTGTACTTAATAAATTGACATCCCACTAGCACACTGACCAATTTCTACCCCATCTTTTCTCCTGTACACTGTTGTCAGTCAACTAAAAAAAATCTAGAACCATAAGAGCAACACACTTATAAATCCTATGTTGCCTGAATATATGGCATCATTTCTTCATCAATCCTATAGAAGTCATTACTTCTCAAATCCCAACAGATATAAAAATTGATTATACCTCAAACTATCACTAAATTATAGGTACTGCCCAGTTGAAGCAGCACTGGTATAAACAGGAATTGGCAACTTTAACCCATCAAGTCAATCCATTCACTGCAATATGTTCTATTTATCAAAGTTGCTTTGGATAGTGAGACGGGCAGCATATACCATACTGTATAATAAAAATAAATTTTTACCGGCAGGAAATTTTTCAAGCCAAGTGAATGCTGTATTGCACTGACTACATAGAAATAGACTTCAGAGACACTTGTGGAGTTAAACCTACACACGTTCTTTTGGTCCCACCACACAATTCTTCCATACTGGCCATATTAAATGCAAAGCAATGAATACATTAGAGAAATCAGTGAAAGATTCATCTCTGTTCATCCAGCAACCAGAAGACCCAATTTGATGTAGTGGTTAAGATGCTGACTTAGAAACTGGGAGACTGTGAGTTCTAGTCCCAGGCATGAAAGCCAGCTGTCATGTCAAGCCAGTTGGTCTCTCTTATTTCAATCCACCTCACATGGTTGTTGTTGTGCGGAAAACAGGAAGAAGGAATATTAGGTATGTTCGCCACCTTGAGTTACTTATAAAAATAATAAAGATGCAATATTCCTAAATAAATATACCAATTTATGTACTATATGTCTTGATAGACAGGGATATTCTTCTATACTGTATTTGTATACATATTTGCAACTCCTCTCAAAAGAAAAGAATCCTGAGAACTATCTTGAGTTAATTTTTTTCCTCCTTTTCATTCAAAAAGAATTTCGTAGTCTATCAAAGCAGTGTTTGTAAGTTGATCCACTTTGTGTTATGATGGCATTGAGCAGATGGTGGTTATGATTGGCCCTCAGAATTCTGACAATCCCAGCATCCCTGTGCTCGTGTCTAGGCACTTGGAAACTGACTCAGAATTATGACTAGCCTAGAGCAGCTAGCAATCATGTGATTGTGATTTGCAATCTTCCCTGCCAACCTCTCTAGACAGTCAATGGGGAAATCAGCAGTCACAAGTCGCTAGGTAGGTCTCCCCTACCTGCACCCTCTCCCTCAGCCTTCTGCACGTCGTGTACTCCTGCCCATCCACCTCAACCCTCTCTGTTCCTCTCTCACACACCCCTTTATCTATGTCACACCTTCAGGCAACCTTCCTGATCTCCCTCATCCTTGCACACACTCCCTGTCGCCCACTTCCTCACACACCTTCCCTAACTATCCTGCACACCTTTGTGCACCCTTTCTAACCTGTGCTTCTTCTGCATTCCTCCCTTGCACTCCTCAACCTTGCCTCTCATGCACCTCCTTGCACCCTGCTCACCCTGTTTTTCACACACCCACTTGCACTTTCCCCAACCTGCTTTTGCTCCCCCCCTCCCCCCCACACTCTCACTTTCCCCAATGCACACACTTCTTAGCACTTTCCTGACCCACACTGCACCTCTCATCCACATCCTCACCAACCTTCCCTTCTAACCCCCTTGGCTTTCTATCCCACCCAGAAGCAGCCACTTATCTGCTGGCCAGCCTGGAACTTGCAATTCCTCTGGCTTGCTTATAACTTCCAGTTTATGAAAGCAACAAAAGGCAGTCTGAAAATTACGTATCTGCCCATTGCCCATATAGGTAGTTATTATGACCATTTGTTTAACAATTGTTTGGAGTTACAATTGCACTGAAAGTGCGACTTATGTCTTGACCTTGAAGTTACAACCACTGCAGCATCCCTGATCCCATGACCGCAATTTGGGTGCTTTGCACCCATCTCATTTACAACAGTTGCAGAGTTCTGCAGTCACATGCTTGCAATTTGCAACCTCCCCATCTGGCTTCCAACAAGCAATGAAGAAAGATGGATTTGCTTAACAACCATTTGATTCACTTAACTATCATGTAATTTGCTTCACAACCATGGTAAAAAGGGTCATAAAATCATTTTGGTCATGTGATGACTCGCTTAATGACCATATTGTTCAGCCGTAGAAATTCCAGTCTAATTGTGGCTCTAAATCCAGAATTACATGCAGTATATTTAAGATGCTGGGACAGAAATTCACAATTGCACCACACTGACATTTGTAAACAAATGCAATAATCATACATTCCCACTCACTTTCCCATGAGATGATTTACTTTCATACTCCAAATCTATGTGCTTCCTTGCACAAATACAGAAATGTTTTTTAGAGAATGCTCTAAAAGCAGTAAAGTTCCAGAGTGGAAACCTATCAGATACATCAGAAGTTGGAGAGAAAGATTAATTCCTACCCAAGGATTCCTTAGTTGAAGCTAATGGGCTGTAACAAAACTTGGCCTTACATAAGTTACATTGCTCAGGACTGTTTTTCAACTCCATTAAGAAAGTGCTTGACTAGCACATGGATTAGGACTTTAATTTTTAGTATTAATATAGAAATCTATTTTGAGGCCTCTTTTTAAACATTTATTTTTTCCCCTATTTTCATTTCATAACAGCAATACAACAAGTACTTTAAAAAGTACTTTTCCATTATATAAGGTAAAGTTTACAACCCTCTGTACTCTAATGGAAAATACTGTAGGGTAGTAAAGTTGTTTTTTATCCTTATGCATCCCCTATCTTTCCTGTCTCAAACAGTCAGCTCCTGCAATGCGTGATCTTTACATGACTTATGCGAACGAAAGCTGATGTATCACTTGCCAAACAACAGAAAATGTTTAATATATCTAAGCAACTCCATGTGTCAGCACACCATAAAAGACTGCTTTAAGCTCAGGTTAGTGCCAAGACAAACTCAGGAATAGTTTCAGTTTAAAACCATGAAGCATTTATTTTCCTACAGCAGCCATATGTGCACATGGAAATAATTAACAGGTAGATGACATATAAACAACTCCAATACCTGACAATTTATCAAAACGTTTTACTTAACCTTCATTCTTCAGCACACAAAATCAAAGTACCCATACTTGACTGAAGAAAAGGCATTTGCTCAATAGTCAAGATTAATAAATTTAAGTAAGGTAAGGTACTCAGGAATAATATTTACAATATTATAGCAATATAATAAAAGTAATAGTATACTTTTCATATTAATGATCTGGCTATTTTAAGATGCTTTGGTGCAATTTTCTGAATTGGAAATATGAGAAACTGGATTCCTACATGACAAAAAGCAGAAATGTTAGCAGGAAGCAATTTTGAAAATGTCTTCCAGTTAATTTAATCTCTCATTATTTAATTCAGGTTTAATTATAAGTCAAACACAGTTTATGCAAGTTCAGTGTCTCCAACTGAATATTTCTTATGTTTCATATTAATTTTAAAAACAGTCTCTTTAAAGCAACTGAAGTTATACATACTTTTTAATAAATTATCTGATCAGTTTATTCTTTTATCTAACACAATAGCTATTTATCTAAAAGGAAAAACAAATTAATATTTTTGATTCTCACTATTTTCAAGATGAGTTTTTTAAATATGATTACAAAAATATTGCAAAACAGTCCATTATTTTCAAGTCTCAGAATTATTTGGGTATCATTCTCACTCTAATCAGTAATATTTTTAATCAAATATTTTAAAAAACACTAGTCTAATTAATCATTTTTCTTGCATGAGAAGAAAATAAGTATCAGCAAGTTAAAATGAAAAGGGCACATGCATATCTTAGATAAGAGTTCCAAAGATGTGAAGCCTGATTTGTTGTACATATTAATGCAATATTCTCTTACTGTCAAACCAACAAGCAGAATTCCACATTGAATGTACACTTGGACAGGTTTATACTGCTGTAGACTATTCTTTAAATAATCTCATGTTAAACTGTTCCGGACTTGAAAAACCACAACCAAAGATCTAGGCTGGTCTCTGAACTGATGTAACATGACACAAAATCTTAGCCTCTCCCACTGTTCTTGTAACTACATTACATACTGAGTGAAATTTATGAACAGTTCTTAAATTTGGGCCATAAAAAACACACTGCAGTAACCCACTCTGGTGATATTGTAGGGAGGTTCACTTTTCTTCAATTGGACAATAGAGACATCAAAGTTAACACAACTCCTGAAGTCACTAGCTCTTCCTTTAAAAGTGCTGAAGCAACTCTAACTTGCTTTCTTGATTCTTTAGAGGAAGAATAACTTGAAAACTGATGCACACTTATATTAGGTGAATGATTTTCCCAATCCAAAAGAATTCAGCCAATATTACATTTCTGTTTATTTGTTCTTGTCCATACCAATCCTGGTTCCAGAAATTTTATTATTTGGTCATTGACCAATAAAAATACATTCAAGAGAAGGAACAAAACAAAACTATCCCCTCACAATAATAATAATTATCAGCAACCATTTGCAGACAAAGCTTATACATAATGCAGCAGAAGTTTGCTACTTTCAGAGAAATAAAAGTATCTTGTTTGTTTAATGGATAATGCAAACAAAAATTATGAGAATCCCCTGAAAATTTAAATCAAAGACGGATAATCAACTGATGAAAAATATCCCTGTAAAACTGACAATACAGAAGACCATGGTTTCTATGGCACCTGTGTTCCATGGCAGTATCAGGTTTTATTTGGGTTTTCCTATATTTCCCTTCTAGGACAGTTGGAGGAAGCATTACATCAAACTAAAGATAAAGGTCTACTGAATTTGGAAACTGATATAAATATCAATAATGAGGCTGGTTTAGGCACTAAATTCTGGTGCCAAAATCTGTTTATAATATCCAATCTGCCATGATCAGCAGTAGACATATGGATGAGCTGCAACATTAACTATATGTTGATATTTGCAGACCAATTTCCCAGTCAATATTAATACATTGCAAGGAAAAAGGAGTATATGGGTGTGACCATGGCCTCACCTACTCCTAATTCACTTCAATTAATTCACTGGAGCCAATTCAAGATTCTGAAGATTTTAACCTTCACCATATGTGCAATATAAATTGTTAGTATAAAAATAACTTACTTCATATTCAAACTTGCTCATATTTTTATCTCACAACTATATAAAATTATGGTCTGACTTTTACAAATTTCATTAAAGTTTCAAAATATATTAGGCTACTATAAGCATAAAAACATACCAATGTTCTATTACAGGGGTGTCAAACTGGCAGCCCGCGGGCCAGATGCATCACATGCAGGCCACGCCTATCCCGGCTCTGCAAAGGCAAAGCGTCACGATACGTCACGATACGTCATGTGATACGATTGAGTTTGACACCCGTGCTCTATTACCACATAGGCAAGGAGCATCAGCTTCTCATCAAAGAAATGTATTAAATCTGGTAATTTTCATGTTGGAATTTTAACACAAAGTATTAACAAGAAGGAAAGTGTTACAATATAAAGGCAAAGGAAAAAAAAGGCAATGCTTATTTTTCTATTTTACTTACAGTGTTTGTTGAGTCCTCTTGTAAAATTCTGTCATATAACTGTATTGCATCATCATAGCTGCAAATATGAACAGAAAACACCTGCAGGTAAATTTAACAGAGTTCTAACAGCTCTATATACTTAAAGCCATTCATCCTAACCTAATAAGATGTGCAAACCTGCTGGAAAATAACATATGGATATGGACATAAATATGTATAATGTTGTTCACCTGAAGTCACTGAAATAGCTGTATTGTATTTTGGAGCATTTGAAGCCAATGTCTTCAGTGCAAACACTACAGCACTTAAGAACAATTTTAATCAGACTCAATATCTTTGTTATCATGTGTGAGCAGACTTTTTATCTTGATTTATAAATTGTTTTAACTTGCCTGGAGGATTGCTTAGTAAAAAGTTTATACATCTTTATTGCTTTACTAGATTTCAGCAGATTTACTCATGGAGATGCTAAGAATTTAAGCTAGAACTGTGGACATAGAATATATATGTTATTACTGAAATGTATATTTTTTGTATTATTAGAGTCTACTTTTCTTCATACCTAGACTCTTCTCACTTCACATAGCTTTTTCAGAAACAGATTCAAACATTTTCAGCAACTTATTCTAACTATAATAGTGACATCTCATGATAACAACTTCTCACCCTCTAGAACAGTGTTTCTCAACCTTGACAATTTTAAGGCATGTGGACTTCAACTCCCAGAATTCCACAGCCAGCAATGCTGGCTGTGGAATTCTGGGAGTTGAAGTCCACATGCCTTAAAATTGTCAAGGTTGAGAAACACTGTTCTAGAAAGCAAGTCATGCCACACATATTCTATTAAAAGGTAGTTCTTGCTTGGCAATTATAATTGGGACCAGCAACATGATCTCTAAGTGAAACATCACATGACTGCAGCAGACTTCCAATGTTACTTTCCATTCATACATTACTTGAGTCACCAGGGTTGTTAGTGAGATAACAAGTGACCACAATTTGAGCTTTTACTGTTGACTTCTTCATTGACTATGCTTGTCGGAAGCTAGTTGAGAAGTGCACAAAGTGCAAACATGTCACTGTAAAATGATACAAGTGTCATAAATGCATGATCACATGATTATGGGGATCCTATGATGGTCAGAAATGTAAGATTATCCCACTTCACTCTTTTCATCAGAAATGTTAAATAAATTTAATATTTAATGGTCTGACATCTAGTCAGTTTATATTCAAAAAGGTTCCTTAAATAATTAGAAACAGAATATGAATGAGATCATTATCCCATTTGTTTCAAATTTGAAAGATGTCAGAAAAAGAATTAAGATGTTCCTTCAGAACTAGTAATATTTATTTTTCTTTAAGAAAACAAATTGTGAACATTTCAGCTTATATAATTGATTATGAGTTGACACAGAACTCTTCAACAAAGTGTTCTATACTACAGGACAATGTCAAACAAATTGGACCAAGCTACTGTCTCTAAAAGATAGTTAAATTTAAGAAGCTGCATAATCTTAATTTTTAATATACATTTCTATTACATTTTCTAATATGTTTCCATTCTCATTCATCTTTATTTATAATTATCATACTTTACTCTCAACTACATAATTTTTCATAGCTTTTATATTTATATATTCTGGGAGACGTCTTTTAAGGCTGCATCTGGAAAATATTCTTTAGAATTCAGTTACCTCTCCATGGCTTCAAATTTCATACCAGTTAACCGTTTAACTCTGTGGCTCCCAGGGAATTGCCGTCTTAGTTCTTGCAGGCAATACTATAAATTCAAAACACATAAAAAATGAGTAGGTAAAGAACGTAATTTTCAAATGTTTGAGTGATGTTTATTTGAACATAGTAACTAAGAGATTCATCTGGCAATGACCCATCCCAGTACAACCAAAATATCAAATTAACACTTCAACAATATTTGAAAGAAGCCATTATATAGATCGAACCAAGACTACAAACATAACCAAAATATAGTTTTTAAAAACCTAAAAGAACGTATAACTAATTATAGATCAGGGTTGTTGTTTTTCTTTTCAAACATATAATGCAACTTGTACTGCTAGCAGAATTCAGTAATTCAGCTCTTTGTGCACAATTTTATATAAAAATTTACATCACATTTAATTTGGATTTAGTAAATCTATTATTTAAAATGAAAACAACTATTTTTTTTTACCTAAGTCAGTCACAGCTATTAAATGCAAATCCAATATACCATGTTAGACAGAAACAAATTCCAAATTCAACTACTTTCGGGCAATCGGTGCTTGGAGACATGATTAGAAGCTATCAAAAATAATAAAACATGAACATTATATAGACTAAAAAGATTTAAATGTTTTATAGCCAGAGGTTCTAAATATAAAAACTATAACAGAAAAGATATTTGACAAGACGTGTGATCATAAGGAATAAAAGTGGTAGTAAAGGTAAGATCTCACAAAGGAGTCCAATTAAAAGACTGGAATTGACTTTGAAAGACCAAATGAGGGATTACAGACACAAAGGAAGGTGAATAGAATAGAGTTGGATTCTGCTCTTTAACAAAAGGCCCACAGCTAAAAAGCACATCCAAGTCAAGAACACAGGGCGGGGGGGGGGGGGGGGGGGGGGGGGAGAGGGTAGAAGGGAATATAAATTCATATTGACAGGAGGAAAATTCAAAAGTAATGTTAGAAAGTATAACTTCACAGAAATAGTGGAAGCTTGGAACCAACTTCCAATGGAGGTAGTGGGTCGATCATCAGTAACTGAGTTTAAGCATTCTTGGGATAAGCACATATCAATTATCTGACAAAAACTAAAAATAAATTAAAATTAATAAAATATAAAAATAATAATTAAAATAAATAAATTGAAAACAAAAAAAACCCTCTCAATGGCCAGACTTGATGGATCACTAGATTTTTTTCTGTCTGTGTTTTCTTCTATGTTTCTAATAGCCAACTCGGCGAATATCTAGATTTGAGAGGTCCTTGGTGTTCTCTGAACTTGGTTGTTTTCTTGTAGACATTTCATTATACAAACTAGGTAACATCATCAGTATTAATTTGGGTAATGAAACATCTGCAAGTAAACAACCAGCACCAAGGACCCCGCATTTCAACTCCGAGCTACAAATATTCTTCTTTATTGATACTTAAATTTATTTTATGATTGTTTGCAGCCCAGATTCACTTGTTTTAGGTCGCAGCTATAGAAATTAATTAATTTAAATAAATAAATAAAATCCAAACTGCAAAATATGATTGGTGACTTCTAAAAAATAGATGATCTCACTAAATCTGTGAAGGTACATGCATATATGGGTAATATGGTCACCTGAGAGACATAAGGTAAAAGAATCCAAAGACCCCTAGTTATAGGAGATGTTACACTTTGGAAGAAACAGTGTTAGAAGATCAAAATACAAGTATACCATATTTCATCTGGAACTGATGGCAAACATTTCTTCCCAATAGAGGTCTCTCAGTTGTTGAGTTTTAAGGGTGTAATTCAATAAAAACCTAAAGTTTTCTTTACAATTCTAGAAACTGTAAGTATATTATTGTGCAAATGCTGATTATTTTAAGATGCAGTTGTCTTGACCTTTCCTGAAAAAAACGAACTGGTGCCAAGCATACTTAAGTCATAATGTATATTTTGGAGGGGGAAGAGAGTAAGAATATTTTGGTCTGATTTTAATTAGTTTTAAGAAAGAATTTGTACAGGAAAAACATTATAATCCCAGAAGAGGAGGAAGGTATATTTTACATCTTGCTGGTTGGTATAGTGCTACTGTTTTGTGATAAATCTACTATTTTTTATGCAGCTCTATTTTCTTTTTATAACTTCTAAAGCCACTGGATTGGGTTGATGTATCCAGATGCATTTCATATCAAATTTATATGAAGCATAGGAATAAATAAATCATGGATGATCTCTGAGCTTGTTTGTTTGCAAACTTTTGTTACCCGAGTCGGTAACATCTTCAATGCTAGAAGGTTTGCTCTCTGTTTATACACAGTAGAAGATATTAGGTACTTGGGTAACCAAATGTCTGTAAACAACAACCAAACTCAGTGAGCGCCAAGGTCTCCATAATTCAATCTGAGCTACATATATTATCATATATTGGTAATTAAATCACTGCCTATAATGAGTATGGATTGGACAGGGCTAAATGAGGTAAAATTCAGTCAATATACAGAGATTCTCAGGTAATGAACAAGTGGTGTTGAAAAGTTAAGGTTACTATTAAACCTGGCCTTGTGCTCTGTGGTTTTGGCTTAATATAATCAGAGATCATTTAGCATGATTTTATTCCTTGTTTCTAATTATACAAAGTTTGCTTTGAACTTTGGAAAGCTAGTTTATACAGCTGTTTTATTTTAGATAATTGGAGGTTTCAGTGAAAAACACTATTTTAATTACCATCTCGAGCTATCCTAAATTTAGCTTACAAATATATATAATTGTTGTCCCAGTTTATTTAAAAAAACTTTGAAAGCATTATCACCGAAGGCCAATACAATATGATAAAGCTAATGAAACAATGAACAATGTGTATAATCTTCCTTACTTTCACTCTTTAAAATATGCTAGGCTTAAACATAAATTATGACTCTATGAGAACTATGATGGAACCAACTATTGAGAGGAACAACACAGCCTCACTCAGTTCTTCAACCAGAGGTTTCATTGTATCTCTTATTAAAACATCAAGTATTTTAAAATATATCATTTCTAAATCACACTAATTCCCACAATGGAAGAGTGGATGGTAAAGGTGATAGAGTTAGCAGATATGGTGAGAGTGTTTTAATCAAAGAGAGGAATTTATTGAGTTTCATTTCTATTTGAAACTACTTCTGGAGTTTTTGTTCAAAACTAGCCAAATGAGCCTTTAATTTCAGGTTTTGAAAATTAGAATAATTTTGTAATTATAGAAATGGATTGAAACGTTGCAAAATGTAAAAGGTTGAGGTTGCATTTTTTTTTATTTTACTGCACTGAAAAACATCAGAAGTCATTTTTTTCTTTAGTTTCTCTTTTTCTCTTAGTTTTCTACCTTTTGTTTTTTTCTGTATTTTTATTTTATAATGAAACAATAAAAAAATACTTAACTTTAAATGCAGTGCCCAAGAATACATAAAAGTCAAAAATGAATCCACTATTATGCTATTCAAAATTCTGGACTGAAAACACTGTACAAATTTAATATTCTTCTTCTCTTTCACCTCAAGAAACATATTAACTGATTTTATAGCACTCTTCTTTTTTTGACCAAAAAGACAAAAATATTTCCATGAGCATGAGCAACATTTCTATAGCAGGTAAACAAGAAAATGTACATGAAAAATTTGAGTATATCCTCTACAGAAAAGGGACCAAAGTTAAAATATCAGTCTCAATATACCCTGCTAGATAACTTGCATATAATTGAGAGAAGGAAACTGTGAAAACTGAATGAATACGCATTACTGTTATTAGAAACAAATACAACCAAATCATATGTGAATGCCAACATAGGGAAAGAAGAACAAGCAATCATCATAGTACATTTTAAAACAAAATCTGAAGAAGCAATGTACATAATTCTGAAAAAAGGAATAGCTTTGTAGGGACATACAATTAATGCATGTTTAAGCTATTGAACTAATAATATGCTCAAAGCACTGAGAGGTCTCCTCAATTTTTAAAACATGCAAGCTGGAAAGTCCAAGAAATAAATGCAATTATATTTTGTAATAAATATATTCTGCTTTAAATTCCAAATATTTCAATATAAAGTCCTTCACAAAAATGTCTGGCTACCCAAAATCACATTGTTTTATTAACTTTCCAGAATAAATTCGGTACATTTTCAAAACAGTATCTTAAAAATTGAAAAGTTCAGAGTTTTTAATTACTCCTCTTTTCCAGTGCAGCTTCTTATTTGATATAATATGCGATTTCATAGGATTCCTTCTTCCATAGGGAGTTTCAGGAAGCCATAGTGAAAACATTCAAAACTTCTGAATGTTGCTCCTGGACACCTAGGAAATATGTCCTTGCACAGCCACTTTCCAAATCAGTCATATGCGTTTCAGAAAAGACATGGATGTTTCAAAGGGAAGTTAGTGTATTTCACAAGATTTACATAGCCCCAGGGCTTTTTTTCTCATAGAACAGCCAGAAGGGAGTTCTGGCACTTTTTTGGGATGGAACCTTGTAGGGTAGGCAAGGTGGGTTGTATGACCTGTGTGAGTTCTGGCACCTTTTTTTTTTTTTTAGAAAAAAAGCACTGCATAGCCCTAAAAGTAGACTGCAGAAATATATTTCAGTAATGGACTGCAAAAGAAAATAAGGAGAATGTCTACCTATTGTGTTAGCAAAGATTAAATTTCCTGGATTTGCATAAGAAGTCTGTCGGAACACTTACCGATGCCAAGTCATCTCGGCTGCAATCCAACGCGGCGATCATCACTTGCTCATATATTATCCAAACTAGATAATACAAAATATTGTGAAGCATAGAATTGTTTTTTTCCACATACCTGCTATTCAGCTCATAGCAAACTGTAGGAAATATTGCTTTTTATAAGGTTAGTATACTTAATCTTATGGAAACCGATCACACTAGTGCTAAACCTGAATATTTGGATAAATTCCTTGTGTGTCTAACCACACTTGGCCACATAAGTGAAGCATAATAAATAAATAAAGTATAAGTATTTGCTAAACATGTTTTAATGTCATTGCTCATCCACTGGTTTATTTTAAAAGCTGAATTGAAAAAGCAACATGGAATATCAAATCAACTATGGAATGATTCAGAAGTGCCCAGCCTCAAAAAAACAGTCTGTTGTTTTGGCAAATAATAGTTTTCAGAAAAAACTTTGCTGATATAGGTGCAATGTTGTTCTTTTATTTCCTTTAAATAATGTTTTTATAAAATCCCTAAGCTGCTGTATTTATTGAATTCTTAAGTTCATGGAAGATGCTCCAACGAGAAATCTTGCTCTAAAGAATTAAAAAATGCTATCAGTCATAGAATTATTCATCCTTGGCTACAGAAGTTAATGAAAATCCATGTTGATACTGCATTCCTTCTTTTTCATATATTTACTATTCAGATTATACCCCTTGACTAAAAATAACCCAATCTGATAAACTGAACATCTTTCAGCTCCCATGCAAATCCAGGGCGTTCAGTTTCCATTAAGAAAAAAAAAGAAGATCACAGACAAGTACATATCTGCAATAGCTTTTACATTTCTCTTGTGTAAAACCTGAAAGGATTCTGAGAATAGATGAACTTTCTAAGTAAAATAAAAATGCTTTCTGAGTAGTAAAGTATAAGCTATTAATGCACACCATAAAAGGTATGATAGCAAGAAATGACAATTCATTTACTGCACCCTCTGGAAGAATGAAATATACCACAAATGAATTAAAACAAAATACTGTTGTTTGTATAAATTCATAGAGTAATTCACCAAAAAAGGGCCAATGAGTATATTCAACTATTCTGATAAGACGATCACTCTTTCCAACATAATTTACTTTGGTTCAAAATAGAAATCAATTCCACACAAGTTCATTATTCACTTATTCTTGTGACGGAAAAAAGGATTTCACTACTCATGGTTACTTCTAGCAATATCCTAGAATAAAAGTTTTTTGATTTAGCATTTAATGAATCTGCTTCACAAAAACTATTTTTTGTTGAATTTAAGTATTACTAAGATCAAGACTTTCTAAAATTAAATAAAGAATATTCTTGATCTTGGCAGACCTCTGCCAAAAATAAATTGCTCATATTGTATGAATTAGGTTAACTGAATTATAAAAAAATAAAGATAAAATAAATTAATTAAAATCAAATCTTTTACTCCCTTCCTGCCTACATAGGAATCTTAATCAACCCTGTACACTCGGATGCTTTACCCTGCACTGCATACATTGCTCTGTTAAAACATCTTTTTCAATGATTCCCTTCTAGTATAAAATACGGAATGCCAAGTTTCTTTCTGGGAAGAATTTGTATTGTGAACTGCCCAACTTTATTGTAAAAGCAACCTTCATACTGACTTCACGACGCTGAATTTGCTTTAATTTTCAATAATAAACTCCTCTATTTCAAATCCCTAAACATTTGACTAGTTGAAATTTGTTTAATGTTTTTTGGGAGGGGTGGGGAAAGATATTTCCTAAGCTATGAATAGAGAGTAACTTAATCTGTTGTAGCTACAAATTCCCTAGCCACACACTATATTTGTAAAAATCAGAAGACTAGGAATACTGGTCGATTTTAAGCTTACAAAGTTTATGGACATACTGTACATCAATATGGCACCAAAAAGTTAAGTAAAACAGATGGCATGATGGAGAAATCAACTGTCTACTAACTGTAACTAACCCAGATTGGATCCTGTATACTAATTATTTTATCTGATATTTTAATATAAATCCATATATCTGTAATATCTTTATTACAAAATACAAATTTTAACTGGATACTAATAAAACATAGAACACAACATATACAACTGCACATCAGAAAAATTAACTAATAAAGAGAAGTAAAATAGTTTTGACCTACTGTCATCACCAAGCTTAGCTGCATATTCGTTAATTAACTCTTCTCCAACTTCAACTATTTGCTCACTGTTCCGATAGTTCTCTTCTCTCCATTTTCTCATTTTGTCTCGCATCTCTGAAAGAAACAAAGTAACAATTAGAAGAGAATAACAATAGTATTCAATATTTCTATTGTTTTCTATTATTTCTGTTGTTTCTATTGTTCGATTATTTCTATTTCAATATCTCATTTAAACAAATAATCATTGCTGGATTATGGCTGTCATATGAACACATATGTATAATTCTCTTTTGCGTGTTATTCTCACACTGCTTTTCAACAAAAATTAAAATTGGAAACTTACTGCTATAGTTCAGCATACTTCTACCTTTTTGGAATGACTAAACCTATAGAGTATAAAACTCCAAATTGATTTTTAATTACTACCCTCTTGATGCCAAAAATACATAGCAGTACAAAAACATCATACAGAACTGAAACTGTAAATTTCTAAATATTATCTTACTATTTAGAAACAATCTAATTGCTATTTTATGACTATTGTTCTTTCAACTCTCCAAGGAGTACTTGTTACAATTGATAATTATTCTGGGAACCATTTCTTGCTGATGTGAACCATAGTTGCTGATGTGAACCATAGTCTTCTGATTAAAATGAGCTTATTCTGAATGCCGAACGGTTTTATTTTAAAATTACAATATTCAATTATAGGATAAAAGACAACACTATCACACATCCCATTTATACTTCCTCTGAGAATTCTCAGATTGTTTTCAGAACTCTCTAAAGAATAAATTATTAAATGATTAACTGATAGAATTTTCTTATTTTAATAAAACCAATAAAACTGTAATATTAACTCATAAAGGTATATTTCTTACTACTTCCTAAATCAAAATATAAGCATAGGAGAAAAATATTACTATTAAAATTAATAAAGCAACATATATGTATACACTTTATATTTTAAAAATATTATTTTTTCTTAATTAACAAGGTATCATCTAATATGTGAAAAAGAGCAGGAACAGGATTTCTTTCTACAGTTTATTTTTTTAAAGTTTATCCTAGATGCGGCTCTAATAAAAGTAAATGTCAAGAATAATATAGCTAAATAATATAAAACTTTAACGCTTAAAAACATCAAAGTATAGACTAGATCATGAAGGCTTTCCACAGTTTCTTAAAATCACTGTGCACTGCAGAGTCCTCTGAAGATTTGTTTTAGACTAGCAATTTTATGATTAAAAAAATCAGTACTTACTAAAGAAAACATCAAATATTCATGAGTTTGCTTTATTATTGGTGCTGTTATTATTAATACATGCAAAAGGCTTGCAGAATTATTTTACCTGGTATTTAATATGAAATACATATCTCTGAATTAGTTGGTTAATTTTAGGTTAAATAAACCTCTTTCTACAATCTGTTCCTATTCCACCCCTCCCTCTCCCACATAAAAAAAAAAAATCTCAGTATGTTGGAAACATACTGCATTTTATTTTAAAAGTCAACAAAACCACTGTATATTATGTTTCATGTGCCTGAGTAGAGCTAAATGGTTCCTGACTCAAGTTGATCCCTGGAAATTAAAAAAATGGACATAAACAATCTGAGTAAATATTGTATCTATTACCGAGACTAAGATTAAAATATTAAAAGCTGTGTTCATGAATTTACTTCACCACTAGTAGAATATCTATTAGGTAAGATTAATTCCAATCCCAAAAAAATCTATGTCAGAGTATACTACAGGATTTCAAATACGGAGAAAAAAAGGAGACAAATCCAGTTTTGTCATCTGATAATTATTTTTTAAAAGAACACGAGTAACGTGAAGTGTCTGCCTGCTGAATTTTTGCCACAGAAGAATACTACAGTCTTCAAAGAGCATTATTCCCAGTAGTATGACAAATATCGCTGCCTAAGATAAGTTAAAAAGGACCAGATTTTAAGATACATAGAGAACAGGAAGAAATCTTTTCCACTTTCCATGGCTCTCTATTACCAAATTAGATGCAACACCCATCACTGTTGCGAGTCTTTCAAAATTATTGGAAATATTAAGAATTACTTTTAAAAGGGAGATTACAAGATAATATACTTCAATCAAAGCATGTAAAAGTTTTTTCACCGCTAGAATTACTTTAATAAATTTAATTCTTTCAAAAATGGAAATGAGAGCTATAGCACCTGATTGTAAAAATTACACCTATTGATATATCTCTTAAATTTGTAATAACATGATAGAACAGAAATACCATATGGTAGGTTGATTTATGATTATGACCATTGTAAAACAATTATAAAATCAAGACACATGGTGTCCCACTTAATATCCACAATGGCTTATAACCACAATTCTCAGCACAATTGTGGTTGAGAGTCCAGGACCACCTGTATAGTTTTCTTCACACATTATTTCTGACTGTTTTTTAGTTGTGTTTTTGTTCACTGTATATTTAAATAAGCTTTTAAAAAGAAAGATTATCCTCTGAATTTTATTTTAATATTTTCACCATGGTTCTCTCTTTATTCAGTAATGTACAATACACATTCATGCTAGGATAGTAATCAACCATCAGATTCAAGCTGATAATTTTATCTCCTTTACAGAATTTCTCATTTACAACTATATTTGCATTATACCTCTATTTTAAATGTGTGACTATGAACACCGAAGCAAAAATGTGAAATTCCAGAAAAATGAAGGCTAAGTAAAGCTAAATATTATTTTATACTTAGCTACATATGGATATTAGTTTGGATACTCTCTTAAGGCTCACTAAAAAGGGGGGGGCGTTGGCATTACAAAATGACAATTGGTAAAGAGGCACCTTCTGTAAATTTCATTTATGAAAAGTTCCTCCTTTTCTCTTCAGACTCCCTGTACAACTCAGAAAGGTCCTAATCCAAAAAAGAATATGTGTGTTTGAAAAGTACTTTCACTTTCTCCTGATCTTAAATATTGGGATAATCTAATATTTCTTAAGGTTTTTTTTAATTTAAAAGTATGATGTATGAGTGTAACAGTTTAAGGCTTTTCCTCTGTATAATAGGATTCAATTCGGGTAATAATTTAAACCTGAATTAAATTAATTTAATTTAAAAACGATATAGATGATCAGAAAAAGTTGCACCAGTCTTTGGATGTTCTCTCTACCTTCTTTATGAGGGTAGAGAAGTATATGCTTCCTCTCAAATTTTAAAATAACATGACATTCTAATCCTGCGTCCCTCTTTATGAATTGAAATTAGTTATAACATGATCCAGAAGCAAGGATGGTATTGGTTTCTTCCAATTGATCAGTTGGATTAACACATTATGCTCTGCTATACTGTGCATTAAGGTTTCTTAAGTCACATCAGCTGGATTCAGACATGCTAAATATAGCCAAATGAGCTACATTACTTCAGTAGTCCATATAGTTCTGTAACTCTGTATTATTATTAGAGACAGATCTGATTTATACATTGAATCAAATCATATGGTTTATAAACTCACCTGCTTCAATTGTAAAACATAATTTATGGTTTGGCCTGATATATGAACTCAGCAAATTGTTAATGTTAAGGCATCAAACCAATTCAAGGCTGGGAGGGACCAGATTTCCTAAGACTAGTTTGAAGTGAGGCCTGAATTGATACTTCTTAGCCTTTACACAACAGCAACAATGGAGTGATTTCTGAATATCTGAAATTACTCACTCCGTCCCCCACCTCCATGAGTTTATTCATTAATCCCATGCCTTTCATTAATCTTGTGACATTTTGTGTGCAAATATATGAATGTTATATTTTCACTAAAAATAAATGGGAAGCTGGATTAATATTAAGCAGTATCAGTCATAGTAAATTCAAAAATGTTTCTAGTTCTGAATATGCCCTATATAATTCTTAGTAAACCCAGCACTAAGTTTGAAAAGGGTCAATCCTACTCAGAGCATTTTGTTGTTGTGATGGGAGGGAGAAGTCAATGTAGTGAATTTGTAAGACTGTAGTAAACCTTAATTTAATGGATTTCAGATACAAAAGATAAAATCTGCCTGAACTCCATATCCTTCTACCCATGCATAAAATCTTATCTGCCATTTTACATATGTGTAAAATATGCATAAAATCTCAGTTGAATTTAACAAACATTGTGCTTAATGGAAACTGCTTCCCCTATTTTCTATAAACTACCGGTATCTCCTATAAACTCTGATCTCCCCTTAAATTTAGGCAAAAGTGGATAGTGAAGGATTATCTCACTTCCATACACTTCTATACCCTCTCTCTGGTGCTGCAGCTCGTTGGGACACACCCCTGCTAGCCCAACCTAGTCCATTGTTGGACAACGTTGTGGGGTTTTGTGATTACATGCATCTGATGTACGAGATAGGTTCAAACATATATTATTAACATGGGAAATCCACATAGAAATAACAAAGTTCAAGGATCATATAAGTTGATACTGTTATCTACACAGAATTGTTGCTTAATTTATCTTAATAGAGTTAGTCTTTCCTATCCTGTTTTTATGCTTTTTGATGTATAATTACATATATAGCAGTAATAAATAATACCTGTAGGAGATGACCAGGCTGAGCCCAAGGAAGGGGTCAAACGCATCCTCAGTCTTGCATGCCTTCATGCCCAGAAGAGATCTAAGTCAAGCCTACCTTGAATTTCATTATCTCTTACCTATTTGCTTTGACTGTTAGTAGTTCAGATTCTTGTAGAGAACATGAACTTGCAATAAACCTTTATATTTTGAATTGCCTGGACTTCCTGATTTTCCCACACTTAACAATATCTATACTTGCATACACACACACATATGTGTATGTATACGTATACACCCACACACATTTTTTCCCCTCTTTCAATTGTGTCCAATTCTTGGAGACTGTTTGGATAGGTCTCTGAGGTTTTCTTGGCAAGGTTCTTCAGAAATGGTTTGCCTTTATTTCCTTCCTGGGGCTAAGAGAAAATGACTAGCCCAAAGTCACCCAGCTGGCTTCAATAACTAAGGCAGGGCTAGAAACAGTTTCTTGGTTTCTAGCCTGATGACTTGCTCTAATATATATAAATATATAATTATAGGAATATATATTATATGGATATAATACATAAAAATATATAAAAATCTTAAAATCATATTTACACATGGCTAACTCAAATAAATGGAAAAAAGATTACAATTTGCTTTATTTCTTGAAGAAAACATGGTAAGAAACTGAGTAAGTGGAACAGCAATATACATCAAATAGATCTGACAAGAAACACGTGAGCTAATTCTACATTATTGATCTCCCTTCCGCCGCGCCCTCAAGACATGGTTGTTCCAGCTCGCGGGACTGGCCTAAGGGATTTTAAAGGGGTTTTAATTACTTTTAAATTGGACGTATTTAAATATTTCTTTTTAATCGATTTTTAATTAGATGTATAACATGTTAGCATTTTATCTATTGTCAGCCTCCCTGAGTCCGCAAGGAGAAGGGCGGGATATAAATGTAATTAAATAAATAAATAAATAAATTATTATAAGGCTACATTAACACAATCTTGCAAGTCTGAAAGTACAAATCTCATGCTGTTTCTTTTTACCACCTGATAAATTAGGGCAGATTAGTACTATTATTATCTTTCTTTGCACATTATTCAGCTGCAGGCTCCCATTGCTCTATCTGATCACCCCTAGGTAGCATCTCTTCCCCCTCATCTCTCAAAGTCATTCCCACATACCATTACAAATATAAAGTGGAAGAATCTGGTTAATTTATGGTCAACTCAAAGTTACTAGCTCACACCATTTTTTTTATCATGCCTGTATTATTTTTATATATAACTCAAGGCAGTGAACATACCTTTCTATTTTCTCACAACAGCAAACCTGTGAAGGGATTGGGGCTGAAAGACAGTGACTGGCCCAAAGTCACCCAGCCAACTTTCATGCTAAAGGCCAGACTAGAACTTATAGTCTCCTGGCATCTATTCTGGTGTTTTAACTAATAGACCAATCTGGTTCAATATAATAATGAAATTTAACTTAATAATTACAGTTAAAACACCTATCTACTGCACCTATATTAGCTATCTATTATCCTGGACAAACTCACATAATTCATGATCCTACGCCAAAGCAAGCCCAAAATAACAATAAAAAGACAATACCCTAGAGCTAAAATGTCCCATATTTTTAAAGGTGGTTTACCTCCAGGTAAATAGGCAAAAGTATTTTGCTATCAATGTCTTCCTCTGTCTCACAGGGAACAGTTATGCAAACCGTATTTAGTCACTTTTATTTAATTAACCTCAAAGGGCTGTTGCGAAGATAACAGGTGCCGTTCATGGACTCTTTGGAGAAATATGAAAGTCAGCCATTTCTTTAGGAAGTGCGTGCTGCGGCATTTCCATTGTAAAGATTGTACAAGTATTTATAGAGAAGGAACTGAATTTGAAACTATTTTTTCCCACTCTTAGAAACTAGTAGCTTAGAATCAATACATCTGTAATAAATAAATTCACCTATTAACTATCCTGAATTCAGAAGAAGTACTAAAACATCATCCCACATAAAATCTGCAGGTCTGTGCCCAGTTCTGTATATACCCAGACTTCTGAATAAATAAAAATCAGTCTTGTGTCCTAAAACTGCATTCCACATAAGATTCAAGGCCTATATTTGCGCAAAATTATCTGAATAACTTGCCTACATTCATACTTCACAAAGTAGTTGTTCTGAAAGCTTGATAAGAGAAAGGATATCCACATTTCCATAATTTCATTTTTAATGAGCTTTGGTAAGTATATTAATACATATATAAAAGAAAGAAAAAAGGCAGGCAGCCTATCTATCCACTTTAAGATCCATTCCCTCCACTCTAATTTTATAGATTCAAGATCATACTACTTACGGTATATTATTACTACTTATATTGTCCCATAACTGAAAGCAAGTCAGACAGATTCTGTTCAAAAAAAGTCTTCACTACATATTATGGGAGTATCACGAATACACTTCTCATTATGTATTATATTTTTGCAATTAACTTTGATTCAGGAAAAGGCTTGGTTTACACATCATGCTAAGCAACATTGTGGCTCACATTAGTGTGCCAACCGAAACAAGTGTCTGTCATTCAAGAAACCCAGAAAAACCCGACAAAATCTTTCTAGAAGGTGATAGCTTTGGGGAAAAAAAACCTAGAGGAAAAAAAATCTTCAACACAGGAAAACGTGAAATACTTCACCTTTACACTTCAGGTTCTTCAGTGTATCATTTCTTCCCCTTCCATTCTTGGGATGGAAGTCGCCAAGTGTCTCCGGAGGGGATCAAAGTAGGGATTGTTATTTTATATCCGTTAACTTCCGAGAGGATCAGACTCCACTACCTTCCTTCTCTTCTAAACAGAACTGTGAAGGGTTATGTATACCTTTGAACACGCTACGACGGGCAAATGAGAAGACGCGAAGGCGATTACAGGGCGAATTGCTCCGAATTATGCGTAAGTTATCTTCGAGAATTGGACCTAGGAAGACTTTTTCCCTTGCGAGGAGAGAAGTGACGGGGACGAATACAAGCGGCGAACACAAGCCCCTCCGGAGCTACGAACAACTCCCTCACACAATTAAAGAAACATCGTAAGCACCCCCATCTCTTTACGTCTCCCCCCTCCCCCCCCTCGCTCCGCGGCCGCCGGTTTACCTTCCCAAGTCACGTCGTACATCTCAGAGACTTTCGCCATCTTGCCGGGCCCGTCTCCGTTCGCCGAGCGACCGGCTCACGTGATCCCGCTGGAGCCCCGCCCTCAGCTTTCTAGCCCGTGCCGGCCGCGGCGAAAACGATCTGATTGGCTGGGCGCGCGGAGGGCGGGTAGAAGGAGATTAGGCGTTGCGAAACGACGGCTCGGAGGACTTGCTCGGTCGGTCGAGCGAGCGGAGGCGGGGGTGGTTCGCCGGCGTGGTCTCATTTTACCGACCTCTGAAGGACGGGAGGCTGAGCCGCTCAGAATCGAACTCCCGGAGTGAGCAGTGAGTTAGCCTGCCGTACTGCATTCTAACCGCTGCTGGCTCGGGAAAGGAGATACCCTTCCCCTGATATAGGATTGGTGGCAGATCCCAGGATACCCAGCACGTGGAAGGATGACGGGAAGTGCCAACATAGAGTGGGGAAGGAATCGGCTTTTTATCTTCTTTAACCAAAGAAGAGTTGCGTTTTTCTGGAGAAGTGTCTACAGCAGAATTTTTCAACCGTATTGAACTCAAGATGGCTGGACATTCGGGGAGTTAAAAGTCTACACATCTTAAATGCTGTCAAATTTGAAAGACATTAGGGCAAGGGTAGGCAACCTTGGCTCTTTTAGGACTCGTGGACTTCAACTCCCAGAATTCCTGAGCCAGCACAGCTGGCTCAGGAATTCTGGGAGTTGAAGTCCACGAGTCCTAAAAGAGCCAAGGTTGCCTAACCCCTGCACTAGGGCAAGGGTCCCTAGCCTTGGCCACTTTATGACTTGTGGACTTCAACTCCCAGAATTCCTCAGCCAAGTTGAAGTCCACAAGTCATAAAGTGGCCAAGGTTGAGGACCTCTGCACTAGGGTACAGTAAAGATGGCTGAATTTCAGGTTTGGGTGAAAGCATTTCTTGGCATAAGTTCAAGAGTCTTCAAACACCTCAGGAATTAAGGCAGATTCCATTTTTCTAAGTCAGAGTGTAGTTTGCTTGGCTTGGGCTTAATGCAAAGTCTGAATCCAGCTAGTGTGCTTATTTTAATCATAGTTAAGGCACACTGTGATTTAACATGGGTGCATGAGCCAGACCATTGTGTTTTGTGTAAGGGAGTAGAGTTGTAAGTGGAAACATAATAAACCAGGGAAACACAATACTGTACATGTATTATATTGCTTCTTCACTCCAAATACCATTCTACCAATAATGTTTTGTTACATAATGAATGTAAACACACAAAACTATGAAAGATGACTACATAAACGGTTTACAACAAATGCTGCCACTCAGATTTAGATTATTTTGATTGCCATACTTGTTTATGCTGCAATAAATAGTCATGCTTTGCCTACAGATTCTTTTTGTCCTTGGTGAAAGTTTGATAAAGTTTTCAGATTTCACTTTATAATTCTATCGTATGGGGCTAGAATATATATTTCTGTTCCAGATTCTGAAATTAGCTGCTTCTCTAAAGTATATCACTTTGTTGACAGTGAACCAATAGCAGAACTTTGCATATAACACAACACTTTAGAATTTAGAAGCTTTATTTAGCAAGACTCAGCAAATTACCACTTTAGTAGGGAAAGGAATTGGGTTATAACTGAATTAACTAGTTTTCATTTCCTTTTTATCTCAGAGAATCCAAATGAAACCATAGAATTCATAACTCTTAAAACTCTGCATTCTTTTAACTAATACTAAAGTCACAGATATTTTTGCATTATTCAGCTACAAATCAGTAGCAAGGAGAGAAAGGAAAAGATGTGTGAAGTCATAATATGACTTACCTACTACTGGTAGTTGAGTTTATTTCCTGAGCCATAGTTTGTTTAGCCATTTTAATTAGCTACAATTGCTTAGATTTGTGTTTAGAGATACCCACTGTCTTACAAACCACAATGGCACCATGCCAATATAAAACTGGTCAGTTTGTTTTATGGGCTTAATGTGGGTTTTTTAAACCTGAAATCACAGCCATTTTGTGCTGCTTCTGTGTATTTTCAAATATGCACACATATACCTTCCTAACTCAAAACATAGCTTAAAGAGATAATCAGACTCTTGTATATTGGCTGCTTCCATCATAATTAAAGTCCCTCTTTCCCCTTACTTACACAAGGCCTAGTGAGAGAACGGAGACAGATTTTAGTTGGATTCTGCTGAGTGTCTGAAATGTGTGTAAAAGTCAAAGGAAATCCTCAGATGTGTACAATTGTATAACTTAAAGGAAACTCCTAGATCATATAAGCAATATATGAAAATCATATTAATTCCTAATATTGAATTTGCTAGTTAGAATGGTCTCTGGAAACTCCTTACAAACATTGGACATCTTGTCAAAAGCCCTTTGGAGTACATAGATAATCAATTTAAATAAGTAAATAAATAAATTTAAGTAAATATAAATAAATCTTCAAGAATATGTGATGTTCTGTAAAGAGTCTGGGTTTTATAATATACAGTAATTGTTACTCCTTAGTAGAGTATTTTTTCCCCAAAATATGTCTTGCATTTGTTATCAGCTGTGGAGAAAAAAAGCCAGTGAACTAGAGCAGATGTTTATAAACATGTCCACAGAAAATAAATAAACTACAACATTTGAATAAATCCATGATGAAATAACACCATTAATCTGGGATGCGGATGCCTTATAGAGACATGTTCTTGGACAGTTTGTTGATCAACAAATATTAATATTTATTAGTGTAAGTAATAGTAGTATTGTTAATATAAAAATAAGTGTTTTGTTCCTTTTCATAATGAAATATATTTGTATTAAGCCACTTCCAAGGAGCAAATAATAGCATAAATAAAAGATCAAATACACATAGTTGATAAAAATATTTAATCATTATTAATCAATTTAAAGAGTAAGACCTAGCTGAAAAGGAAGATTATGGGCACAACTCCCTAGAGATGGTATTCACCAGTTTGGGAGCCTTCTCCTATAAGCATGCCAAAAAATACATCATATATAACCAAAACCCAGATCAGTTTATTACTGAATTTATATATCACACAATTACAGTGGCTACATTTATGCCACATGCTTAGTCCAATGAAGTTCTCATTCTTTTAATACTCACTATTAACCCCAATAACTTATAAACCATAATAACTAGGTCCTAAAGGTGCTTTTTCATGAGGCAACTGGATTTTCTTGGCTTTTTCTTTGAAGACATTTCGCTTCTCATACAAGAAGCTTCTTCGCCTCTGATTGGATGGTGGGGAATGGTCATTTGCATTAGAGAGTCGTTGAGGCCATTTGGAGGTTTATCTGTGTCTTCAGGGTTACCTGAGTAGTGCAAATGGGTGTGGAGCCTTCTTGGCTGCAGGATGCTTTCTGCCCTGTGTCCCTTCACTGTTGAAGACAGGCGCAGGCTATTTGGGATGAGTCTGTGTTGCCTGCATCTCAAACTGAAGCGCAAATGGTTCCTGTAGTCTGCAATGCTTTCTGGAAATCTGTTCATACTCCCACACCATTCAAAGGGTGTCCATCCCAAAGTGCATAGCTAAATGTCTATGGAGATTCTCAGTCATCCAGGTCATATTCTTCAACCATTAACTGAATGACTGAGAATCTCCATAGTTATAATAACTATATAAACTACTAGCATAAAGCAAAGAAACCACATTATTGCTTAGCACCCTACAATCCAATAATTCTCTTCCATTAAAGTTTTTTTGAGTCAATTCATGAACTGCAGAATCAAAGATCCTTAAGTCATCACTATTGTAAGCTCTAATCAAATTGTCTTGAGATGATTAACTGACTACAGGTAGTCCTCGACTTATGACCGCAAATGAGCCCAAAATTTCTGTTACTAAGTGAGACTGTTGTTAAGTGAGTTTTGCCCTATTTAACAATGCGGTTGTTAAGTTAGTAACACAGTTGTTGTGAATTTGGCTTCCTTATTAACTTTGCTTGTCAGAAAGTCGCAAAAGGTGATCACATGACCTTGGGACATTGCAACCATCATAAATATGAGTCAGTTGCCAAGCATCTGAATTCTGATCAAAAAACCATGAAGATGCTGCAATGGTTGTGTGAAAAACAGTCTTAAGTCACTTTTTTCAGTGCCGTTGTAACTTTGAATGGTCACTACATGAACTGCTGTAAGTTGAAGACTACCTGTACTGAATGACCATTATTACTCATAATGGTGTCGGTCTATCATGTGATCTTTATTATTTTTATTAGTTAAATTTATATCCCATTTGACTTCCAGTAATCTAAGATCAATGAAAAGTTTATCTATATTATCACCTACAGCGGCCTTTCTCAGCCATGTCACAATGAAGGAACTCTTAAGAAAATTACCAAATATCATGCATAAAAATAGCAAAAAATATAAAAACTTCACATCACCATTCACTTCTAACCTACACAATCCATGTTTTACAACAACAGAAATGGGGGCTGGCAGCTGAATCACAATGCATAAAAATTCCCTTCATTGCAAATGCTCACATTTGCAAAAAACGGTGTCTTTTTTATCATGATCTTTTGTGAAACTCTAGGGTTCTATGATATTGTTATTCTACAATCTTATAGGAACTTTATAAAAATGAGGTCATAATACTCTTCATATTTCCTAAAAAAAAAGAAAGAAGAAGAGTTCAGTTCATAAACTCATGTGAAATTTGCCTCAATTGACTGTTTCTGGATTGGATCCTAGTGTTGATAAAACTCCGGTTCTGATTTCTGCTGGCAAGTTTAATTGCAAGCAGAATGCTATTTTATTTAGGCTGTAAATTAAAAACAGAAAAGAGATTGCTGAAAACCATGTTTCGGGCTAGTTATGAGCATTCTTATTTTGTCTTGAGAAATATGTCATTATTTTTAACAAAGACATGCCTGGTGTGCTTAAGATATCAAGCTTATTTAAATAGACATAGAACAAAGTCTAGCATCTCCAAGGAAAGGATGCTGTTTCTCGAAAACAACAGATGTAGATTCAGATAATTCAGCCCCAAATGATACAGATGTTTTCTTGAATGATTTTAAGGCAATACTGTAGAAAATAGTGCAAAATAACAAAACTACAGACCA